CAGGAGAGGCCTGTGCACCATGGGGACCCTCCTCTGGTGGCCGGGGAGCAGCCGGGGATCGAACCAGCGCCGCAGAGGCCACAGGCAGCTTCGCAACCCAGCGCTCAACTGCTGCGCCACCGGGGAGGCCCTAATCTGCCAAATTTAATTAAAACAAACTTCAGAGGAAAGTTAAAGGAACAAAATAGTTAAGTCATGTTTATATTTGGAGTTGCAAAAACTTTACCATGAGAGTAAATGAGAGGATCGACCTTTCCAGGAGATGCTCTAGGTTCAAATTTTGGTTTCATCATCTTGTAGGTGTATGACCTTGGTCAAGTTACCACCCTAAGTCTCATTTGGTGAAATTGAAAAGAAGAGAAAGAGAAGGAAGACACAAATAGAACAAATAGTTAAATCATCATACCAAATGGTGGAGGAAGTGGTTGTGGCCCAAAAGGCCCACAGAATGCAGGAGGTGGTCCATATCGAATGGGTGGTGGTGAAATAGGGCCTCCCATGGGGAATAATCAGAAATAATCAGTATAATCAGAAATTATACTGAACTAGGAATCAAAACACAAGTTTGCTTTTAGCAAACTGTGTGAACTTGACCAAATCCTTTCTCTCTTATAGGAATTATAAATTAAGGTTTGATTCTGTTAAATTAGGTACCTCAGTATTCCTTGGTTTATAGATTGACATCTGCTTGCTGTGTTTCTTCATAGTCCTCTTGTGTCCAAAAATTTTGCTTTTTTTAAAAAGGGATTTATTTATTGATGCATACAAGAACTGGGGTAGAGGCCAGAGATGCCGGGGGTGAAAGGATTCACCAGAGACAGAGTGGGGAGCAGAACAGGCAGACTGACTGAAATACACTGCTGAGAGGAGACAGGAGAGGTCTGCTGCGCCATGTGGGTTGCTCCCTGGCTGGCCAGGGATCGAACTCATGCTACAGAGGCTGCAGATAGCTTCACAGTGCTGTGCTTAACCCCTTGTGCCACCAGGGAGGCCCCCAAAATTTCACTTCTTATAAGGTAAACAATCATATTGGGTTATGACCCACCACAATGACCCCTTTTTAACTCAGTTACCTCTGAAAATACCCTATTTCCAAATAAAATCAAATTCTAAAGTACTGGGGGTTAGGATTTCAGCATATCTGTTTTGGGGAGACAATTAAAATCCATCATGATGGGCTCCCCCCATTTTATTAATTTGTCAGTCATTTACACATCTACATAATGTTGGGGTACATTTTCACACCTTCGTATACATACACACTTACCCAAACAGTGTCTTATCCCCTTGCTCCCCATTCCCCTTCCTCTCCTTTACTCCCTCTGGCAACCAGTATGATTTTCACAATGTCTGATAATAATTATTTTTGTTGTACTTTGCCAGTTTGTGTCCTTTGGTTATTTATATTGCACAAATAAATGAAAACGTCTAGTATGTCTTTTACTTTCTGTCTTATTCTGCTTAGCACATCCGCCTCAAGAGCCATCCATTTTGACCCAAAAGGAACTATTTCATCTTTTTAAATAGCTGAGTATTCTGTTGAGTATATATTTTTGTGGTTTCAATTTGCATTTCCTTTACAATAAGTGATGTTGAACATTTTTTCTTGTGCCTGTAGGCCATCTGAATGTCTTTGGAGAAGTGTCGATTCAGTGCCTATTTTTTGAGAGTTACTTTTTTGTTGTTGTTGAGTTGTATAAGTACTTTATATATTTTGGAAATTAACCCCTTGTCAAATGTATAATATGCAAATATCTTCTCCCAGTCCATAGATTGTCTTTGTTTTTGTGATGATTTCTTTTGAGGTACAAAAACCTTTTAGTTTGAGGCAGTTCAGTTTGTTTATTTTTGCTTTTGTCTCCCTTGCCATTGGGATTGTGTTTCCTCATCACAATGGGCTTTTGAGGGTTAAGGAAAGGACTTGGTCAGGTAAGATTTGAATTAACAGAGAGAAGTAGAGATGTTGTGAGACAAGTTTTTGCAATGTCCAAATTGTCATAAAATGATCTACTAGATAAATTCATCTTGGTAGAATAAAGGAGTTCTCAGATTCCCAAGCAAGGGTATTTAGTGAAAAAAAGATTACTTCAGATTTTTTCTTAGTCGTTTTTGTTCACAGTATGCAGCTTTGTTCACTGTAGGCAGCTTTTCTTTTTCTGTAAGCAGTTTTATTGACACATGCCACAAATTTAGTCTTGACCATTAAGGTGTTGATTGCATGGTGCGTAAAAATTTATTTTTAGGTAACAGAAATTAAGTTATTTCTAACTTTTACAGTCATTCATAATTACAGAAGATATTTTGCTGTATAAATGTGACAAGCTTGCAAAACAATAGATGATTTGACTGATAAAATTTCATCATAGAAAATGAGGCTGGATCATGAAGTTTCTTAATCTGTGGCTCTTGGACTTGGGGCAGTAACTCTCAGTTATAGCCACTCATTATAAATATGTTGATATACAGGTTCTACCTGGCACCAAATAAATTAAATTTGGAGGGCAGAGGGTAGGTGTGAGACCCAGGCATCATTTTTTTAAAAGCTCCCCAGGTTTGTATATGTGGTTGTAATTCACTAGCTTATGCACATAAAAAAGAAATTGGATTCTTGAACTTGCTGTGACCTCTGGGTATTCTCTAAAACTTTTAAGTCTTAGAGAATAAGGAAATCTAAGTATATTAGCATGTCCCAACTGTTTAATAATCATGGGCAAGCTCACTGGAATTCTTTTTGAGTTTCAGTTTTCCCATTTATGGAATGGAGATAATTATAACTACCTTTGAGGATTGCTTTGACAATCAAATATTTGCCCAAGGTGTTATAACTGCTTGGTGTCCTATGCAAGTCCAGAACCCACATGTCCTAATTCTTTTTATTCCCCCGTGAACTTGAAAGGTGGTTTTTCTACCTAACTTTTTCACTCTTTCAGCTCTTTTGTTAAGTTGTGCCTGAATACCTTCTGTATTGGAAACCTTCAGGTACCTTAGTGTAGCAACAGCATATTGGCTTAGTGGAAACAACATGGTCTTTGGAGTAGCGTGGATATGAAGTTCAACTCTAGCTCCATTACTAACCATAATCATTTTAATTCTTAAGGGTCAATTAAATGGAGTATTAAATAAGAAAATGATGTGAAAGCACTGCTTGGTATGTAATTGTTGCTTATTGTTATTGTGAAGGACAGCAGTAGGAGGAGATGCATATAATACAGCTGGATAAGTGATAGAGTAGAGGCCTTTCAATTTGACTTCACTTTTTTTATGTGGCTTTTGAAAGGTTGGCTAGGTGGGGGTACCTTTTGGAATCCTTAAATAATAATTTTGATTTGTGTAAGCCTATACTGTTTAAGAGATACTTTTGCAAATTATTCCCATTTAATTCACACAATAATAGGTAAGGAAAATGTCTCTATATCTTAGCAAGGGAACTATGGCTAAGAGAGATGAAGTGACTTACATCTGGTTACATCATGAATAAGCAATGGAGACAGTTATTGTTTAAAGTGAAACCCCAATCTTTGAGACCTTGGGTTTTGTTTCAATTGGATTTCTGGTTTCAAAGCAGAGGCTTTTGCATGTAAACCCAGGAAACCTTGGGTTTGTGCTTGTATTGGTTATCTATCACTGTGTAAATAGTTTGCAAAACTTATCAGTTTAAAAAAAACAGACATTTATTATCTCACATAATTTCTGGGGGGCAAAAATCAGGCTATAGTCAGGTGACTACCATCATCTGAAGGCTCAGCTGGAGCTGGAGGATTCCCTGCCATACTTGCTCATCTGGTTTTTGACTGGCCTCAGTTTCTTGCTTGCTGGCTATTGACTGAAGGCTTTAATTCCTTGTTTTATGGCCTCTCCATAGGGCAACTCATCCATGGCAGTTGGCTTCCCCAAAATGAGTGATCTAAGAGTGAAGAGAGGAACCAAAACTGAAGCTGCAGTATTTTTTATAATGCAGATTTCAAAAATGATATACCATCACTTCTGCTGTATTCTTTTGGTCTTATAGACCGGCCTTCTATCAAATGGGAAAGGATACACGTGGGGAGATTATGAGGAGGCATGGATCATTGCAGGTTGGCTGCTGTAGTTGTAGAGAAACTCTGAAACCCAGCTTATATACATCTTTTGTGTTTTTTTTTAATTTTTAAATTTTTAAAAATATTTATGCATACAAGAACTGGGGTACAGGCCACAGGTATGGGGGATGAGAGGATTCACCAGAGAGAGAGTAGGGAACAGAGCAGGCAGATTGATTGAAATAACTGCTGAGGGGAGCAGCGGGTGAGACAGGAGAGGTTTGCTGTGCCGTATGGGCAGCTCCTTGGTCAGGGATCGAACTCGTGCTGCAGTGGCTGCAGGTAGCTTCATAGGTTGAATATTAACCCCTTGTGCCACCAGGGAGGCCCTATACACATCCTTTATTAAGGACTTAACCTTAACACACAGGATCAGATTCTATTTCATGTTTCAGGCATGGTGGATACCAGGAGGGTTCCCTCGTATCTTTGAGGGATGCTTTCTCAAGATGCCTCCTTCAGAAGCCTCCTTAGTCTCATATCTACTATCAATCTTTGAAGTTGGTAACATAATCATGCTTATTTTTACAACCAATCAGATAATTTACTGAGGGGTTAGAAGCATGAGAGGATTCTTTGCCATTAGGTGCTATGTAGTGAAATTGCCTTTGGAAATTTGAATGTGTTGATTCTTTTATTTGTCCAGAAATTGAGGTGAGGGAACTACACGTTGTCTCTAGCATTCAGTGTTTGGGAAACAACCCATTCACACTCACTTGCACGTGATATTTCAAATGAGTAATGTGCTAAGGGCACATTGGCTACTCTTGAAGTCAGTACATCTGAATTTGAGTTACAGTTTTGACACCAACAGACTCTGTGACTGTAAGATGTTATTTGTGAACTCTAGTTTCCTTAAGTATAACATGGAGAAGTTAAGCGGAGTCTCAGTGTTCTGAAGTGCAACAGTCTTACTGGCTACTGAGTGAGACTGGGATGTAGGAAGAAGCTGAGGAAGTGGGACTTTCCCACCTCCATTTCAGACAGAGCAGACAACTTTTATATGTTTAAATATTGGCGTTTCTGTAAGATTTGACTGGAAAATGAGCTTGAGAGTTTTTTTTTTTTTTTTAAACTTGGAAACCTCTGAATTGAATGATCTTTAAGGACCTCTCCATGTAAAAGAAAGGTATTGGTTTTTTTTTTATGTCATTGGCAAGAAGTAGCATATGGGGTGTTGGAGGACCCTCTTTTCTATATTTCTACAGGTAGAAAAGCAGAGTAATGGTCTTGTATGTCTCCTGTGAAATCTAGACCTTTTTTTTAAACATTTATTTATTTATTCATGCATACAAGAACCAGGGTACAGGCCAGAGGTGTGGGAGGGTGAGAGGATCACCAGAGACAGAGTGGGGAACAGAACAGGCAGACTGACTGAAAAACACTGTTGAGGGGAGCAGTGGGTGAGACAGGAGAGGTCTGCTGCACCATCTGCTGGGTATCTCCCTGGCCGGCCAGATCGAACTGGAGCTGCAGACTGCGGACAGCTTCACAGCGCTGTTGCTCAACCATCTGCGCCATCAGGGAGGCCCTGTTTAGACTGTTTTTCTCACTCTTTTCTCCTTAGATTTTTTTTTTTCTCCCAGTGTTGGGAGAGGTGGACATTAGTTGCTGATGGTTGCATCTCCCATCTCTAAGGTGATGTAGCTTCTTTTAGAATCAGGGTCCAGATCTGGAGACATGATGGCCTTCCTCAGAGAGGCAGAAGTTGAAGAACAGGCCTCTTTAGAGAGGAGGAGGCTGGGGGAAATCGGCAGCAGGTGAGAAGGGCTGGTCTTCTAAGTGGTTTCTAATCATCTTCTATGGATTATTTAGATGTAAACATAACTTTCCCTGGCTCTTTGTCTGTGCTCAAGCCCATAGGTCTTTTGGAGACTAAACTAGTAGAGTGAATAGAGGTGGGAGGAATTCAAATGAATCTTACTTCTAGCAGCTTGAGAGGGCTCTTGTCTTTTGGTGACTGTAACACTTTGTTACTTCCCTGTTGACAGATCTTTCCTAGCTGATTGAAGCTAATCTCTAGCATTTTGTCCCCTATTCTGTTCAGGTATATATTCTTTTTGGAAATGAATGGTTTAATGCAAATTGGACTGGAGATGCAATCTGTAGCCTAGGTAACGTTCTAGCCTTTCTATTTACCTGTGTGACCTTGGGCAAGTTTCTTAATCTTTCTCAGTGTGTTTCCTTTTATCTAAAATAGGGTTGCTGTGAAGATTAAAGGAGATAAACAGGTAAAGCACTGCATCTGTGCCAACATAAGTGCTTACTAGAAGCAAAGTATTTTTATTAGTTTTGTATTTATATCTTTGAGAATTTAGGGTAGAGGCTACTTGAATTATAAAAATGCTGTTAGAGCAGTAAAATTAGTACTTGAAGAAATTTTACACATCATTTTATCTGATACATCCTTTTACAATTGGATCGTTTTATAATTGAGATCACTCAGACTTGGAGTGAAGCAGTGAATGGCTCAAGGTCACCCAGTGTAGGCAGAGTTCCTGCCAAATATTTCTCCAGTATCTGCTTACAGACCTCCATGATAGAGAGCTGGCAGGCTGTAATTTTCATGATTTTCCATTTTGGTTGTTAGAACTAAAATCTGCTCCTCTGTGGCTTCTAATCACATGAGGAAATTTAAGGTTAGGCAGATGAAAGGGTGTGTCATATTAGGTGTTCTTCCATTCCATCTCCAGCTACAAGGACCAGGTAAGACAGAGGCCTAGGAGCTCAGGTCCAGAGCCTCAGATTCCTCCTTGTGGCTTTGTGGGTGAATAGTTTTCATTAAAATGATTCATTCCCACAGCCTTACTGAATTTATCAGTATTGGAATCATTAGCATTTTTTATTATTAGGATGTTAGCAATAGAAATTATTAGTAGTAGTACTAGAATTTTTTTATGAGCATTTATTAGTACTAGAAGGAATGATTCATCATATGGTCTGTTTTCGTCATCATTTTATAGATTAGTAACTGAGTCCCAGAGAGGTAAAGGCATCTGTGCAACGTCGTTTATAGAAATTCTGTGCTGGAACTGCGACTAGGATCCTAGTCTCTTGGTAGCCAGTTTTGGATGTCTTTCCATAGACAACACTTCTAGAGAAGATGTTAACATACTTTCAGTTTTTAAAAATGTCATACAGCATTTGTACCTTAGATTTCTATTAGGAGAGACAGCGTCAGTTAAAACTTACATGGATTTCTGTCTAAAAATTCAAGTTGTTTTTCAGTATCACAAGGAAAGAAAGTTCTATTCACAAATATTTTTAGAGTACCTATAGGAGCTTATGTGCCAAATTCTTCTAAATTCATACTTCAAAGTACAAACTCAGTCTTCTTTACTTGTGTGAAGCTTCCTGACTACTCCCCCATATCCACTTGCTCTCTGTTTACAGCACTTCCCATGTGATGCTAACACTGGTGTGGGGAAGAGAATATGGACATTAGATTTGAGCAGGCCAACCTGGGTTGGAGCTTGGCTCCAAATAATTCATGTAAAGTGGCTTATTTGAGTGCTAGATACACATTAAGAATTCCTGAAATGTTGTCTCCTATTACAATTATTTTTGTGTTTATTCATGTCTTATCTGCCCTTGGGAGCACCTCAAGGGCAGTGTCTTTTTGCAAACTGTGAGTCATAACCTATGGGTTGTGGATGTAATATATAAGTTGGACTAGTATTTTTGGAAAGTAAAAAATAAAAACAAAAAAGTCAAATTGAATACACCAGAGAAAACATTATATAGAAAGAACAGGATTGCTTTATGAAACTTTTATTTCAGTTTTATGTTTATAGATTATGTGTGTGTGTATGCACATGTGTGCACGCGCATGCATTTGAGTGTGTGCTGGGTCTCCATATAAATTGCATTCTTACTGTAGATTATAGTTAAAACAGTTAGAGAAACTCCACTGTAGGGAAGAAACTGCCTGCTATTTATATCTTGTATTCACAGGACATAGCACAGGGTCTGGAACAAATCTTCTGGTGTATATGTAACTGAGACAAGACAGCCTAAAATTTTGCTTAATGTGTGATACAGACAGTAAATACAATGTAGGTTCAAAAAAAGAAAGGGTAAATTATCTTGAGAAATAGTAGTTGAGAGCTCAGGTTTCTGGTATCTGAAAATTTTGAGAATAAATAGCAGCTCTGCTACTTATTTGGCTGGAACAGTAAGGCAAGTTTCTTTACTTTTCTTGTCCTCATTTTCTCCATCTCTGAAATGGGAATAATAATTACTTCAGGTTGTGAAGATTAAAGAATATAAATTTACAACAGTAGTTGGCACATAATGACGTCTTGCTTAATTTTTTTGTGGGCTAAAGTGGTTATGGGAGGATTTATAGGGAGGCAGATATTTATCCTGCAGGGACTGGTAAGAATGAGATGTGGGAAATGGTTGAGATGCCCTGGATATGTCTGAGTACTGAGGTAAAACTCTGTGACTTTTTTTTTACTTATGTATCCTTTCTGCAACTTTCTTGCTCTCGAAAATACCCAGTCTTTTTTTTTTTTTCTCTTCAAAACCACTTCCTGGGGAGAAAGTCCAACATAAGCTGTTACAACTTGCCTTTGGCCCCTCCTGGAGGCCAGTTCATGTCCATAGATAGGGAAAAGGAAGTTAACATTGGGTGTCTAACCCCAGTTACTCTGAATTCCAGAGAGAGAAGGATAAAACCGTGCAGAAGCTGCTCAGATTGGCCCCAGCAAAAAAGGACCCCCAGCAAGGTAAATAGGAAGGTGCTTGGCTTCAAGTCCAAAGTCCAGACTGGAGCTGGAGAGGACAGGTCCTTGTGAAGGGAGCAGCTGGGAGGGCGGACAGGAAGACTAGCCTGTCTCTGACTTCTGATGATGCTGGAAAGGAAACCTCTCCAGGTTTAAGAAAAGGAGGAGGGACGGAGAGAGTGTGAGAAAGAAGGTGATGAGTAGAGGAATGGGGGAAAGGGAGAAGGAGCAGCTTGCAAGATAACTGTTTTGGCTCCTGGCTATCCGGGAGACAGGAGGCAGGGAGCTTGTCCAGCCTTTCCTGCTGAATCTCTGTTCTCTTGTAAACCCTTTGCCATTTTAGCTTCAGTAAAGAATGGGCTTTCTAAATTGTATTTTAGGTCTAAACTTTCTGTAGTTATTTAATGAAGTCCAGGAGAGCTAGCCAAGTAAAAGACTAAGGAGGTCGGAGGAGGAGCAAGAACTTCTGCTTGATTTGTTTTGTCTGGGTAAGCGTTCTTCAACCGTGAGACTATTGCTGTCTTGGATTGTGGAATTCTGTGTGCGTGTGAGGGGAGAGTATGTGACTGTCCTGGGTATTGGAGGATGTTTAGCAGCATCTTTGTTGTACTGCCTAGTAAGTGTCAGTAACATCTGTCCTCCCTTCAGTGGTGACAATCAAAAATATCTCTCAGCATTGCCAGATGTGCCCTGGGGAACAAATCGAAGCCTGATTGAGAACCAGTCGTCTCTATATATGTTTAAATTGCAGGGACAGCCAAAGGACAAAATTAAAAATAATAGACTCTCCTACTTATATAACACTGTGCCAGATACTGGACCTTTAAATATCTTAGTTCATTTAATCTCCATAATTACTCTGTAAGTTAGGTACTACTGCTATTCCCTGTTTTACAAATGAGGAAACTGAGGGGAAAGATTAAGTGAACTAATAGCAACTAATGTTTATATGAGTTGCTGTATGTCAGGGTCTATGCTAAGTACCTTGCCTATGAGTTATCTCACTTAATCTCACATTTATTTTGCGAGGTGGGTACAGAAGTTGTCACAGTTTTGCAGATGGGAAAGCTGTAGTGTTCCTAACCCTATGCTGAGCACTGTGGCTGACCTGGTTTTGAGTAGTTTCCAGAGTATTTTTTCCTACTTGACCTTCAGAACAGTACTGTGAATTAGATAGTATTTTCCCCATTTTATAGTAGAAGACTCTGAGGCTGGTAGAGAGAAAGGGGCAGAAACTGATGGAGTTGACTGGCATTTGTTATATGTATGCTTTATGCTTTTTATGGATGACCATGTTGCTTCCAGCCACACAAAAGCAGCAGGCAGTCAGGTGACAACATGAGGCAAAGAAATACAGAGCTTGTTTGTGAAGGAGAGCTGAGAGGCAGTCCTCTGATTTGTA